TTGAGTGTCACTCATATACCCAGTGTCACTCCATTGTAGAAAACTGATTTTCCCTCTCTCAGCAGGTATAAATGACAGCTCAGTTATTAACCTTACCGTAGTGACTAGGTTTCCATTCATTCACTCATTCCATTTTTATATATAACAAAATAAAATAAGATAAAATAAAACTATCACATAGAAGTTGGACAAGGCAAACCAACAGAAGAAAATGAGCCCAAGAGAAGGCACAAGAATCAGAGACCTACTCATTCCCACACTCAGGAGTCTCATAAGAACAATAAAATAGAATCTGTAATACATACGCAGAGGATGTGGTGCAGACCTGTGCAGGCCTTGTGTGTGTTGCTTCAGTGGCTCTGAGTTCTTATGAACTGTGCTTAGTTGATTTAGAGGGCCTGGTTTTCATGCTGTCCTCCCTCCCTTCTGGCTCTTACACTCTTTCTGTCCCCTCTTTCGCAGGGTTGCCTAAGCTTTTATTTTTGAGTCCTTAAAACTCATTCTCCAGTGTGGCATGAACATGGATTGAGGAAAGCCCACAAAACCTCAACCCTATGCAAAGAACTACAGGCAACCAAGAAATGCTGAGAGTGGGGGAAATAGTCTTCCCTAGGGAAGAGCACATCAATTTTTTTATCAAACACCAAATAGCCAGCCTGAATGCATATATATATGACATCGTATACACTGAGCTGGATGTAATTATGTATTTAGGAATATATGCATGTATATAGCAACAATTAATGAAAAAAGATGCTACATATTTGAAAGAAAGCAATAAAGGCTATGTGGAAAGATTTGGAAGGAGGAAAGAGAAGGGGAAATGGGTAACTATATCATTATCTCAAAAAAATAAAAAGGCTATTTTTAAATATAATCTTTAAAAGGAGAAAAAATAGACAAACTCCAATAGAGGGCAATCCTATAATCTTCTTGGCCAGCACTTTCCAAAACTTTCAAAATCATTAAAAACAATGAATGTCTAAGAAATTGTCCTTACCAAGAGGAATCACATGTAATGTGGTATCCTGGATGGGGTCCTGAAGCAGTAAAATGTCATTATATAAAAGTGCAAGAAAGTTGAATGGAGTGTCGTTAATAATGATGGATTAATATGGATACTTTAATTGTAACAACTATACCGTAACAACATAATATGCTAACATCAAGGGAAGCTAAGCACAGGGTGTATGAGAATGATGTATTAGCTTCAGTTTTCAGGGGCTTTTTTTGAGATAGAGTTTTCTGTGTAGCCGTGACAGTCCTGGAACTCTGAGGACCAGGCTAGCCTCGAACTCAGAGATCATCCTGCCTCTGTCTCCTGAGTGCAGATATCAAAGGTATGCACCACCACTGTCTGTCCAGATTTTCAGTTTTTATCTAAATTATTTTGGGTAATTGTATTAATTACTTTTCTATTGCTGTGATAAAGCCCCATGTTCAAGGCAACTTATAAAGCATTGAATTGGGCTTCGGGCTCACAGTTTCAGAGTGTTAGAGCCTGTGATGATAAAAGGCAGCCAGCGCAGCAGGTAAGAGCTCACACCTCACAAGCAGGAGGCAGAGAGAGCACATGGGAGTGACAGGACATTTTTGAAGCCTGGCCCCATGAAGCACCTCTTCCAACAAGGCCAAATCTCCTTATCCTTCCCAAAAAGTTCCACCAAGAATTCGAACATATGGGCTTATGGGGGCTATTTTCATTCAAACCACCACCACAATAAAGTCCAGAGAGCCCAAAAAATTCTTTATCAAAAGAGACTACTAATTCTTGAATAGATACATGTATGGGATCTATTATATATGCATACACATTTTAATTAGTTACTTCTTTTACTTCTTAAGTTTTAAATTAGGAATAGCCTTAATTCCCCCCATGATCATTAAATACAGATAGCCTTGCTTCCAAGTTGTGACAGTGGTACTTTTCTGGAAAATTCTATTTTCATTATTACTCTGCCATGTTGAAGAGTTTGAATCTCATACTGTAGGTATCATTACTTAGAGGAAACCTGAATGTCCCATGAAGCTTTAATAGGTGTTGTTTTATTTAAGGGTTCTGTCTCCACTTAAGTTTATCGGATGCTGAACACTCACTCCCCTTGGGAAAATCACAATGAACAGACTCTCTTTCAACTCCACCTGCCCCCATGCCCTGCCTAAGGACTGGGTGTCTTGCACCTGCCTTCTGGATCCCACATTAGTGCATCTCTCACCCTCCAGGAGAGCAGCTTCCTTTTGCAGTAGATGGTAATTAACACGCAGCCTCACAACTGATCAGGATCCGAGAAGAAGTGAGAGGCTATGGAGGCTCAGCTCTACATGGGCCATGCATATCCAGTCCCTGTGCCCTACGGCTCAGAGGTCATTGTGGAAGAGGAGGCAGAAAGATTGCAAGAGCCCGAGGAGGTGGATGTCTATAGGGAATCAATGCTTTTGTACATGATAGGAGAGTTACACCTATGAACAGTTCTGACGGCATGCATGCACAAACTTAAGCCAAACAAAACCCCAGCATGGAGGTGGGAGGTGGGCATTGAAGTCCCGCCTCTACCTGAGGAGTTATTGGTAATTGATAGCTGTCAAGAAAAAGAAGAGTTAGTTTTTTTTTTTAAGGGCATGGTGCCTGGTAGGTCTAACATGCTCCAATGGATGACCACACACCCAGGAATATATAGGATTTGCTTATGGGACTTGATGGTTTAAAACAACGAGGACACAAAGTTGGGTGGGTATGGAATGGGGGTAAGATCTTGGAGTAGATGTAGAAAGGGATGAATATAAACAAGACACAATGTATGAAATTCTCAACAAATTAATAAAAATCTTTTAAAAGAAAATTACTATGTCCATTAATGTTCTAAACTTTAGAGCTAAAGTCTAAAGACTCTAAAAACACTTCAGTAAGTATATCTATCTACTCTAGCACCTCCCAAGCTCGTTTTTACTATTATCTTCTGTTCAGTAATTATTAGCATCTAAGAGCATTAGTGGTACCCAAAGCATAAGTTAGAGTATATTGGTAGGGCCATTGTAGAAGCAAGAAACAATTTTAAGTAAAGGATGACTAATCGGATTTAAGATTCAGCAAGGTAGCCTGATGGAAGGATTGACTAGAGCAGATTTTCCTAGAAGGAATAGCAATAGTCAATGAATTTGGGTAAAGCCTTTGTATAGATTATGGCAGTAGAGGAGAGGAGGAGCTTGTTGGATTAAGAAAAGGTAGCAAGTTTGATATGATTTGGGGATACAATGGGAATTTGGAGGAAGGCGACGACTTGCTTGGGACAGGGATGAGTGGAAGGTGTTTGTTGGGGACTGGGAAATTGGATCCATTTGACTATTGCTTACAAGGGAAGTCTGGGTTAAAAATAGACCCAAAATTATGTAAAATAAGAGAAGGTGGAACAGTTAACAGTCAAGCAAAGGCAAAAAGAAAAGAAATTCAAATGGGCCCTTAACTTTGGGGTATTTGGTGAATTTGAAAATGTATCTTATTTTTGTCTGGATGTATGCGGCTTTGCGAGTGTGAGTGAAGGGCCGGAGGAGGCCAGAAGAGGGTGCTGACTTCCCTGGAGCTGGAGTTACAGGTGCCTGTGGAGTACCCTAATGCGGGTTCTTGGAACCAAATTTGGCTTCCTCTCTCTCTGCAAGAGCAACATGTACTCTTAACCACGGTGCTATCTCTCCAGGCTCTCAAAGTGCCTCTTGCTGTTTTTTTCTAAAGTAAGAGACATCTCTGTTTTTATTTCCTCCTTTAAACTTCCCACAGTTCAGGAGCTGCAGATGGTAGCATGAAACACAGGTATCCTGTTCCCATGTACTTAGCATGTTCTAGGCCCTGGATTCCATTCCTAGCACACATAAACCAGGTGTGGTGGCACTCACGTAATCTCAGCATTTTGGAGATAGGGGCAGGAGGATAAGAAGTTCAAGGTCAACCTCTGACACCTAGCAAGTTTCTGGGCAGCCTGGGCTACGTGAGATAGCATCTCAAACAAACAAACAACAACAACAACAAAAAACCCCAGGAAAATAAAACAGAGTACAACTTTTAGAAAGAAAAAAAAAAACTATAGATAGAATTTTGTAATGATTAAGATAGCCTGGGACCATTTCAAGGCAAACAAATGTGAAACACTTATGTCAGTGGAGAACTGATCTCGAGTAAGGCACCTTTTGTCTGTCTAAAATCACGCTTGGCAGTGGTGAGGAAGTAAGCCTTTGTATTTGAGGACAGAAGATAATTTTTAAAATTGTACATGAATATTTGTAACTGCACTGTTCATAGTAGCTGAAAAGTGGGACAAAAGAGTTGTCCTTCCGCTGATGGCTGGATCAACAAAACGCGGGTCATCCTTAATAGACTGTTATTCAGCCACAGAGAATGGAACCTTGAAAATACACTGAAAGAAAGAAGCCAATCATGAAATAACATGTGCCATTTTGTTCCATTTCTAGGAAATACTCAGACTGGCACAGCCTTAGGGACAAGGGAAATCAGTCATTGCCAGCTGCTGAGGCAGCCGGCAGTGACTGCGGTGTGTACTCGGTTTCTAGCGGTGCTTGAAAGAATCCCAAAACAGCTGGCGGTGGTCGTTTTACAGCTGTCTGGAGATACTAACCACTGCTGGACTTTGCACATCAAACGGGCTAAATTTATGGGATGCAAAGTACATATTAATTTAAATGTTTTATTAAGATTTTTAAAAACTGGAGTGGTAACTGCTTGGTCATTGTTTGAGTCCTTCAGGATCTAGGGTTTCAAGTTCAGCCAAGGCCCGAGACTAGAAGGGCCTCAGGATGTACCCCTCTGAAGACTGAGGGGGTGGAACTCCTCAGGGACAACTCCCGTGGGGGTGTGGGCAGGGGCAGTACTATTGTCAGAAAGGAGCTCTTAATGTCCACTCGCTGAGCATGCGCACAGCCTCCTTCATCTTCCTTTCCCAGGACTTTCTGATTCTCTCCAAAGCAGGTGCTCTCAAGGCGAGTCTCTTCAATCACAAGAAAAGCAGCTTCTGGGTGTTGGAGCAGCCGTGTTGGACCTTATGCTGGTCAAACAGCTTGTGTAGGGCATCCATGTAGAGCGCATGGTATTTGTTCACCATCTCTGGGCTCGGGTTTTCAATACGGGGCAGGGGCAAAGGCTCCCCAACTGTCAAAAGAGATAAAAAAAAACTAAGAGTGAACGTGCCAGAACCCTCATTTTTTCCACCCTCCTCTCCTTTCTAGGGCCACTCCAGTCAGTTCTCAGCTTCCCCCACTCTGCTGCCCTCTTATTTGGTGGAGGAGGGGTAAGATGCAGCTACATAGATGGGAGAAAGAGCTTAGATGGCCCTGAGGCTGAGAGCAGCACTCACCTATAGTGACAATGGGCTTGTGGTATGGTAGGAGTCCCAAGGAACCTTGATTGAAGCCTTGTCCATAGAAGACACAGAAATAGAAACCAAAGATGCGGCGGAAGAAGCTTTGGAACTTGTACATCCAGCTCTCCTCATGAAACAGCACTTGGTCATATACCTTAGTTTCTCCAAACGTGAAAGTAGGGACCAGATGAGCGCTGTAGGAAAATCTTTATTTCTCAGACACAGGCTATTGTGGAAACCATGCTGGAAGGACTTTTAAGGCCAGGCACTCTTCCATTAAGATGCAGTGCTAGAGGCCTAATTCATTCTTTTTGCACTTCACAGGGTCCCCTATTTGGTATGCCCTGTCTTGAGAATTTCCAGGACAATGAGAGTATTAACTCTAGCCTAGATTCCCAAGTCAAGACACAGAGATCCAGACAGGAAAGAAGAGGTTGGAAGAGACCCACATGGTGACCAACTTCCAGTGGGTGTTGAGAATGAAATATCTAACTTTCTGTTTGAGAAATCACAGGATACGGGTAATGTGGATATATACGCATATTTGAAATGCCCCTCCCCAAGGAGAACAATCAGAAGGTAGTCTGTCTGTCCTTGGGTCATGGGACTGGAGTATTGTTTCTTTTCTAAAGGCCACAAGAGCCCACTGTGAACAGTGGATGCTCTAGGGAAAAAAAACAAAACAAAACAAAAAAACTAAGGCTCCTTACAGCCCATATCTGAAAAAAAAAAGAACACAGTGATTTGGTATGTGTTACCTGATTGGTTCTTCATAACACAGAGGACATGGTGGGGAAACCAGAGCCCAGGTCCACAAAAGAGAAGACCGTACAGGCAGCCAGAGAGTAGCAGGTCCTAGACTAGAACCCAGGTCTCCTGACCAACTCAGAGCTCTCCCTGTATATTATAGTCTGGACTGGTAGGCCACTAAGGGAAGGTTATTTAAAGACAGGTTTGTGTCCTCCCTGAGTATGCAGCAGACAAGTGCCCCTGTGTCCAGCGAACTAGACCACTGGACTGGTAGGCTCCCGATCACTCCAGACACCCAGCTCCCTTTTTCCTTCCTTTCCCAAGACAGTGCACCTAACATTTAACAACCCCCCCATGTGTGCAAGGTACATGGTAGGTATTTTATGACTGAATTCATTCATAACTCACTGGACCTGGGGGCTTAGATCTATAATCGAAGCTACTCATGAAGCTGAGGCAGGGGGATCATGGAGCTGTGAAGCCCAGTCATCCCATGCAGGAGGAACAACGATCAGTAGCTGTATCAGGAAGATGAAGATCCCAAGGCTCAAAATGCAGTCCCAATATGTATGGTAAGCCACACAGCCAGGGTTATTATTATTATTATTATTATTATTATTATTATTACTTATCTGGCGCTGGGATGGAACCTAGAGTCTCATGCATGTTAGACAGTTGCTCTACCACAGACCTACAGTTCAAGCCTCCTGGAGCCAGGATTTTCAATCAGGCTCCAGACTCCAGCTCTTCGCATAAACCCATTGTTTTGTAGTGTGCCTTGCACTTACTATCCACAGACAAATGTGGACTATCTGCTAGTCACAGAGAAATGTGGACTTAATTGACTTTAGCCTGAGTCTAACTGCCCTGGACATTGCACTAGAGTTCGTGGTCTGATTTCCTGGGAACTGGTGCAACTCACTGAGAGGAAGCGGATGGCCTAAAGCTTAAAAAAAAACTACAGCCATCTCTCCTACTCAGTCCTAAGTTCCTAGAGGGCAAACTCAAGTGGTACTCAGTTTGCTACAGTCTACAGGGTAATGAGCAGGAAGGGACCCCTACTCCTCCTGTGGAGGGACCTACCCGTGTCGGAGAGCTGTGCGCACAAACCCTTTGCGCTTCTGGAGGAGGAGGGTGGTAGTGTTAGGCACACTCTGCAGGGCCTCTCCTACTCCTCCCACAACGATGCCCACGAGGTTTCCAGTGCCGTGGCTCAGCAGGTAGTCGATGGCTGGCTGGCTCACAGAACACACTCCTAGAGAGAATCAAGGGCAGAGCGGGCTCAGTCATGAGGAGAGGAGCAAATGCCAGAGAGAGTAGACTGGCTTCTGGGTTCCCATGGCTCACAGGAGGAAAAGCTCAAGGAGATGGGACAGAAGTGTGAGGAAGAGAAGGCAGTAAGCAGAGAGAACACATTTCACTTGAAGCAAGGTCAATCGGAAGCTACAGCAGGGTGGTTTTTAGTGGAATAAACCAACTTTCTGAATCACAATTCTGATTCCACCCTTTTCAGTCCATGAATAGCAATACCTATTGTTCATTGAACACATACTCTGTACCAGGTATTATGTTGAACACTTATTTAAGAGATTTGAGAGAATTTTCATTAAATCATTGTACTATTTCAGCACTTATTTTTCAGGTGAGGAAGCTGAGTCTGCTAGAAAATTAGCTAATTTGCCTATGATCTTTTTTGTTTGTTTGTTTCTTGAGACAGGGTTTCCAGTAACTATGGAATCAGTCCTAGAACTCATTTTGTAAGACCAGGCTGGCCTCGAACTCACAGAGACCCACCTGCCTCTGCCTCCCACGGGCTGCGATTAAAGGCATGAGTCACCACCGCCCAGCTAATTTGCATGTGATTTTACAGCAAGCAACAGAGCCAAGATTTAAGTCTGGATAGGTTCACCCCAGGGCATAAGCCTTCACACTGTGATTGTAGGGCAAAGAAATGGTGCAGTGTAGGGAGAAGAGACTTAAAGGGTGCATGGTATGAAGCAGCTACAGTGAAATGGCCCAGAAACTCCAGTGAGTATGATAAGAAGCACCTTTGGCCATGAGGTAGTCCCGAATAATGGGGATCTTGAAGAACCAGGACAGTGTGGCCAAGTGAGGAGTGATGCCTGGGAAGGTCTCTGAGAAGCCTGTGGCCTCAGTGCAGAAGTTGCAGAAGGCGCCGAAGGTCAGGAGACCATGGGGATGGACCCCCATGATGTAGTTGTGTGAAGGTGACAGGTCCTTTGTCTTCCGGATCTGCATCCATGGAAACAAACAGCATAGAGAGAGAATGAGCACACATGAGGCAACAAGGTGAAGACATATCAGGGATTTGGGTATTCTCTGAAACAGTTGCCTAACAACAGACAAAGCACACAAGGCTTTCAAGAAGCCTGGACTTTGATCCCCACAGCCCTGGGATGACAAGACAGGATCCAGGGCAACTGGGACTAATGAGCCTCTTCTCTTGCTTGTGGGTTCAAGCAGTTTCAGCCATTGGTATCCAGGAGAGCTTTATGCACATTATCATTTTCTTTGTGCAATGTTGTATTAGATGTCATGGCCAGGAAGCTCCGCTTGAGAAAAATCAGGACTCGGACTGAAGGGCTGGCTCAGCAGTTAGGAGCATTTGCTGCACTTGCAGAGGCCCCAGTGCCCATGTGGTTACTCACAACCACCTGTAACTCCAGTTCTAGGGGCTCCAGTGTTCCCTTCTAGTCTCCTCGGGCACTGAATGTATGTTGTTTGCTTACATGCATGCTTATGCAAAATGCTCACACACAAATAAAAAGAAACATATTTTAAAAATCCAAACACTGGCCGAGTTTGTCATCGACTTTAAAGATTACCCAGAGGAACCTCAGAGCAGCACGTCTCTAGACCTCCTCTCTGCGGTGTCCTCCTTCGCCTGCCTCCAGTATCTGCCTGGGTAGCTTTCTGTGAACACTGAAAGCGCTGCTTGGCTACTGCCACAGCTGTGAAGCATTTCCTGGCTAGCCTTCACCAGAATCACTTCTGTGTCTTGTACCAGATTCTAATTACGTACTTACCCATTCTTGCCATCAGATGTGAGCGCCGTGCTCATGAAGAATCACGTTGTTGTTACTTCTCTGAGGCCCAAACATGTGGTTAGTGGAAATTTTTGAATCGCTTTTGTTAAATTGAATATACTTTCACTCAGCCTGTATCATAAGGCAGGTCGTGCCAAGAGCACCCAAAATATCCCAGCAAAGTACAGAAGACCATGCTGTAATCCAGCCAGAGCGACATTTTGCCAAGATGCCCAGTTTTCTTATGGAGAATGCTAGTTCTTCGATATAATGTCTGTGTTTTGAGTGTTGAGAGGGACACTGGGGAAGGGATACTTACTGTAATAGGGAAATAGTCCCTGATGTGGGTCCAGACATACCAGTTTCTTACCCAGGCTGAACGCCTGCCACCTGAGACAAAAGTACCAGTAGAGGATGATGTTAGTATTGCTATTCCACACCTCTCAGTCATCCAGGGATTCCCTAGTGCCGTGGAGGACCACGTCTCTGCTACAGAGGTAGGAAAGGAAGACATTCCAGAATAGTTCCAGCTGCCTGGCATTCGAGTCTCTGAGAATTTGGAAGGGAGGTCTGTGGCATGGTGAGTGGGACCCTCCCACAAGCGGGCTTATAGGCTATGGTGGAACATTCTTTTTCCCAGGTTCGCGAGTCATACTTTGATTTGGAGTCTTCCAGTCCAGGAGTAACCAGACAAAGTAAAGTGTTGGCAGCAGCCACAAGGGTGTGAACAGCAGGCCAAAGAACAATGGCTGCAGGATCCAAACTGAGGGAAGAGTAGGCAAGGCCAGGTTTGTACTGGCAGCAGAACTCAGCCACGCCCATGCTCTGAACCTGGGCTTCAGCACAGTCTAGGTCCCAACATTTATCCTTCAGAATTTTTTTCTATCATCTACCATATGCAATCCCCAGTTCTCCTCCTACCTCTCATCCTGTTCCTCTGACTCCCTGTCTAGTCCCCATTCCTGTACTCTGGCTCTGTGCCTGGAACAAGCTTTTTATCAACTGCTCACATTCAGCTATCATTCCCTCCCTGCCTGTCTCCTGGCTCCCTTTGTATCCATCATCCCAGAATCTGTGTTAGGTATGAGTCTACCTTCCTTTGTCCTCATACTCCCCATCTCTTCCTTGACCATTCCCAGCCAACATCCCCATCCCCATACTGTTTCCTCCCCACTGTTCTTGTCCTCTTGCCCATCCACCATTCCTGCCATGGTCTTTCTCTCACTCAACACTACCTCTCCACTCTCAGAGTAGCAAGCTCTAAGGCTCAAATGCTGGCTCTAGAGCTGGGCATGTGAACATACACCTGCAATTCCAGCACTCAGAAAGCCGAGACAAGACAATAATGAGTTAGAGAGCACGCTGAGCATGGACTTCTCTCATAAAATCCAACCAAT